ATAACAAATAAATTTCTTTACAAACATAATATGGAAAAGTAAAGTAACAATCTACGTGGAATCTACGAATGATGTCCCTAAATGCTCCCAGATATGAAGAATATTAAGTATTCTTAGTTTCACGACAACGAAGTGGATATAGATACCGGTTAGTTCGAATAATTCTGAATATCTGGAGAATCAGTGTTTTTCCGATAATTGTGAATCCGATAAAGGTGCAGAAAGTAGAGATATGAATAAATAGAGAAGACTTGATCAGCTCTGGGCTTTTCAATGGCATTTCAACTTCACAGAGAGTGTTTAAGACTGTGTTTAAATAGCATATGTGGCATAATAATATTTTGTTGTTAGAATATATTGATATGTGTTTGCCCTAAAAATACTTGTTAAATTTAAAACACGATCTTGTCCACTAAAGAGAGTTGTATTTATACCTACATTATAGTGTAATTATATCTACATATTAAATCATTTTGTTCATTACAAATATGCTGCTTGCAATTACCAGACTGGTGCTTGCATTCAGCTTAGCTTTCTTTTATTGTTGAGTTTAAGAACAATGAGCTCAATTTTCTTACTTCAATGCACGGGCATATATGTGCTTGAACTACATTGTAAGCTGACACACACACACACACTCACACACACGTGTATGTGCACCCAGTGTTGAACAATTACGTTTTAATTAGAAATAAGTTGAGCTTGCAATGAAGGCAAGCAGCATTATTTGGGATCCTTCTTAGTGCAGTAGTTGCTTATTTTTGTGGTTTCCTTGCATTTATACTTACAATTACATACATATATGAGAATATACACATACACTCTCACCACACACATGAACGGGCTGCAGTCAGACAAATGCATGGCATATGTGGAGGCGCTTTCGTTGGCAACGTCAGTTAGACATGGGATTACACATACAAATGAATGAGCTTACAGTCTTACATCATAAAGGCAGACAAGTTTAATAACATAATTGAAAAAGGGTGAACCAATTGTCATTAAAGTAAAAGTAGAGAACATTTCAAATGCATTTATTAATAAAAGGGAATTTAGTAAATGTTAGAAATTCAGTCGTATAAGACGGCTCCACAAATATATAAATAAACAAATAATTAATAAAGGTTAAATACTTATATCTGATCTGCTGGCACTGTTTTATTTGTTTTAAGCAGTCATCCTCATACGAATTTGCTCGTTTAATGCTTAAATTCCGTGGCATTCCAGACTGCTCAGTTTATTTTAAACTAATCAATTTTCTTTTATCTCAGATCAGTATAAGGTATATATTTACCAAATTATATAATTTCTATAACAAATATATATACATTAAATATAACTTTTTTAAATTATAAAATTTCGTATTTTTAGGTTCAATATGATTTATACCTTATATTATTAGAAATCTTATAATTTAAAAAGATCTATTTAATGTAAAAAATATAAAAAAGAAAATAAATTAATGTTATTAATTATAACAATTTCTAAAATTAAAACCCAGCTAAAATACTTGCCCTACAATATTAATTTAGATACATTACAACAAGCAGAAGTTAAAGGTATATGGATTCGTAAACCTCCTATCATAAGAACATCTTGCGAGTTATTTATACTATGAATAATATGGCTGCAATACGCCCCGACTTTTCATTTCCAAACCCTGCACCTTCAACACCAATAATAGCAATAGAAATAGCCATTGTGTGGTCGTCGGACTCCCCCTGGTCATGGGTGTAACGAATGTAGGGTAAGACAGGCAGCTACAATCCTACAAACCGAACCAAGAAAATGATATAATTCTTGTCTTTATAAATTAAAAATTATGTGAACGAATTCAGATTAATTAAAGGATTGAAAGACCATTTTAAATCATTATAATGGTATATAATACCAGCTGGTAAAATTTCATTCTTAGTTATTATCAGGTCTAGTTTTATGTCGATATATATTTTCATAATCATATACATCGGCAAGGGTTTGATTCTGAATACACTTCGAAGAAATATTAGATTTGTAAAAGCATTTCAAAATAGAAATGAAATTACAAATGCTTTAATCAAACTTTTTTTGAAAAATATGTTAAATATTATTATTATTATTATTAAATATTTCTAATGTTTTTTTCGAACGTTAAATTGTGCGAATGGTTTTTCGATTATCGGGTCTTAGTAATTATTCAATCATATTTATGAATACCCGTTACTATACCCGTTCCTCTAGTTCTGGACGGTATCCCGATCATATCAGGCGCATCTTCCACCTGATGTGCCAGCGGCAGCAACAGCGAGTCGAAATGGTAAAAAAATAAATAAAATATACCTTTAAAGAAGTATTAAATGCATAGCAAACAGACAGATAAAGCGCTTTTGCAAAGAGACAAATTTAAATCAATAAGCATTTAAACAATAATGAATAATGTAGGCGATGAAATTACAAACAGAAAATGTTTATCTTCAAGAACTTCCACTGCATACGGGTATATGCATTTGTGTATAACTTGTAAGTACATATGTGCTCATACTTGTATATGTATATGTACTTATATATTGGCATGATGCTGTTCTGTTCGTGCCGGCTGCTGTTGCAAGTTAATTTGCAATTGAAATTGTCAAGTCAAGTTGAAAATATAACAGCAATGACTGGCAAACGGAGCGATTCCATGCCCAGCCAATTCACTTAGCCAAATGCAAATAACAACATGTGCATTGTGGCATATGTTTCTGTGGCAGCAATTGTTGCTGTTCTTGTTGCCTCCGGTAATTAAAGCCGGAAGCACAATTGTTTCAGTATATTTTTAGTTTGTCGCTGCTATTTATGCGACTATAATTGCACATTGTGCGCATAAATATTAAGCAGGTCTGGGCATAAGTGTGTCTGTGTGTGTGCATATATTTATGTCGGTGTGTGTGCGCATAAATTACTCAAATTGTAGACTCGCAGATAATTAGCCAGCCAGATAGCACTTTTTTTTAGTATTCTGAGCGGCCTCTTTATTTCTGACCAAAAGTTGAAAGCCAAAAAATTGTTTGGAACATAATATGCTGAGCCTTTGATTAAATGCCGATGATTGTGGAGCCACAAAAATACAAATTGCTTGCAAATAACAATTAAATCGACTTCTTCAGTTTAAAGCTAGATTGGGGTATTTCATTACTTGATTTTGTTATTTCAGTTTCAGTCAAGCAGTGGCAAATACAAGTATCTTTGCAAAAATCGTATTATTTACAAATTGTTGTTAATGAAAATATTGTAAGCTCTTTGCAATAAAACTTTGGTAATTGGATAATTCATTAAAAATAATATTGTGTACATATCAAAAATATAATATATATAACTGGCGCATCTTAAAATTATTGAAAACGTTTGGGGATGGTCTGTTCGAAAAATGTATGACGATGCACAGAAATAGTCCACAATTTGGGCCAAACCTGTTTTTATATTCTGAAAATATTTGAATACAATACAATGTATTGGTTATAATTTAATAAAAGAGCTTTGAGCAACATATGTTTTACTTTGGTACTTTGGTAATTGGAAATGAAATTTGCATAAATGATTACCATAAGGCATTATAATTTTGAAAAAGCAAACTAATTTATTTATTCATGCAATTTATTTCATACTTCACTCGATTAGTAAGACATTAAGCATTTGACTAGCGAAATAATTTCAATTAATGTCGAATTTTTATGCGCACGAATGCGTGCAATGGAAATAAATTGGAAAATAAAACAAAATTGTAAAATGCCTGGCCAGGCAAAGTGAAATGCAAAATATCGGACATTGCATGACCTAAAATATATGCATCTATATTTGTATAATGGATATAATAACAGGCATTAGTGCGTAATGCGTGTGTGCAAATGATTGCAATAAATTGTGTGGCGCATCGATTGAATTTAATTATATTTGCAAGTATGTGATGAAAATAAAGATTTCTGTGATTATTGTGCTAAATTAAAAAATAACATAAGCTTGCAAATTAAAAATGATTCAGCTGTGTGTTCCGATTATAAAATTATTTAATAAACATGTGTTTAAAATAGTAATAATAATGTGCCTTTGTTTCTTTATATCTTTGATATGCACGCATTGCATATTCATTCAATTTATACAATTGTAATGAAAATTTGATGGTAATTTGCCTCAAAAGGGGATAAAATTGTATGTGTACATAAAAACCTGGATGTATGCTTGTTTTTTTTTAGTCCTGTATGAAAACTCATTCGTTCATATGTGTTGTTTTATTAATAACAATATATGTACGTGTCAGTATATATTTAATGATAATATAAGATCCACACACACATACATATATGAGTTGAACATGCTTCGTTCGGCGATTCATAAAGAACAGCGCCGTCTTATTGATCGACAAGGCCCAAGCTCAAACTTTCTCTTACAACTAACTGCTAGACATCTTCATGATGCCGCGGGTTGTCGATCTCTCTATTATCTCCCTCTTCCTCTCGTTTAGATTCTTAAAGGGATTAAAGATTCTTACACACATATTTTACTTACTTGGGTGCAGTTTTTTCTTAAATTTCGTAGAATTCGACACTCAAGTGAGGGGAGGAAAGCTACTTTGTTTAAGAAATAAGTTATTTTAAATAATATTTTGTTGTTATAATTAAACAATGCCCGAGGATCGGTGTAGGTTGGTGTTAATATGTTGTGATTTTATTTAATGAGCTTTACGTTAACAAAACACAGATGTGCTTCCATACATTTCAGTAGTCAGGGAAGGAGTGATACAAAAACTAAAACAAGGGCTGCAAAGGCACAAATTGTGTATCGATTACTCAATTATCTAACTAACAATTATTATTGAAGCAAAGAAAAGCAAAAGGTAAGTCCGTTTAAACACCTTCAAAACAAATTTTCGAAGCACGTCATGAGCATTCTGTCCAGCTCAGTGATCCCACAAAAATCTCAACTGAAAACAAGAAAAATTTACCGAAAGCTTTAGTCGATCTTCTAAAAAGCTATTTTAGGGTTTTTGTCTAACAACCTGTTTATATTTTATTTTCAAAACAGCTACACAAATTTGCAAGTATAATTTGTTTGCATCAAGCCAATTACAGTTTCTTCCAACAGAATTTTATAATATTTTTCAGCCAATATGATGGTCAACTGGTGCAGAATGCGTCTTCATACCGTCGGCGTTACGATCGGATGGATTGGCATTATGGTATCTATTCTGTCGATTATCTTGCTGTCTCTCATTCTCGTCTTGGTGGACGAAGTGGCCATGTTTGTAGTGCCAGACCTTGCCAGGAAGTTGCCGCTTCTGAGCTTCAGTGGATTCCGCACTGGGCTAGTCATTATGTGCGGCGTCTGGTTGGGCTTCAGCATTATAAATCTGCTGGCCTCGGCAATGCTGTTGATGGGCACTGTGCAGGAAAATCATCTGATGTTGGTGCCTTGGCTGATCAACTCTGGGGCTGCACTCGTCATTAACATAATCCGCCATCCGTTCACTTGGTTCGCCTTCGCTGATGAAGTGGGACCCTGTATTGTCTTCTCCGTGGTTACGCTGATTCTTCAATTCTATATCTACTTCGGCATTTATTCGCTTTACAAACACATTAAAGCCAAAAAGGATCAACAGCGCCAATTTATTCAGCCTGATGTTGCCTACTTTGGCGGCGACTAGTTAATGGTCTCAGATTGAAATAAACTAATGAACTTTAATTCGTTTGAAATAAAAAATGGGCACAAAAAAGATATGTTGATATATTTATAAACTTCTCATGGAGTAAACTTTAAGAAAATTAAAAAAGGCAGGCATTTGGTTAAAAGAAACTGTGAGGCTCACTCTAATTTTAATTATTGCTTCCACTTTCGAAGCTTAACAAACAGGTCATAATCTAATGGATAAAAAGTAGTTAGTTACTTGACTAGCTACCAGCCTTATTCTTTTTTTAACGATAAAGTATCATGAGCTATAATTGCTTACTACTCAACCTTTTCTGAGTGCTTTAATACTATTTTTGTAATGCACGCAGTTTGTACTTATTTGTGGATTGCGAAACGCCAAACCCATACGATTTTTATAGAAAAATCATTGACTTTTCTGTGTAAGGAATAATATATTCATTTTTTGTACAATATTTGTTTACATTTTAAAGTGCTCTCTTTTCGGAAGTCTACAATAATTGTCTTACATTGTGAGAGAATGCTTAATGTAGCAGTTGGGAAATGTACGGCGACATTTTCTTTTTATTTCAGAATTTCCATCTCATGCAGCTTTTTCAATATATGGATCGTAGAACGCAAGTGATTCAAGGTGTAAAACTGGACACCACACACCCCAACATTAGCGTCCAGCACGTATTGAATGTTGTTCAGGGCCAACTCCTCAAAGAACTTGGCTAACTCGGCGGGGCAATGCTGCAGCTCTTCTGCTCGGGCGCGCAACTCATTCGGTAATCGGACACCGACAAATTTCTCCATTAGCAGATAGGTCTTGAAGGACTCGGGCACAACGATGCCCATTATGATGGGCACATTAATATTCGCAGCACAGCAATCGAGTATGAATTGGACAATTTTCTCGGGACGATAGCAGAATTGCATGATAACGAATTCGGCGCCAGCTTCAACCTGAAATTGCAAAATGAAAATGGCACCTTCTTTTATAAAACGGCATTAACCTTTTGTTTTAGGAACTGTACACTAGCGAGTGGATTTTCCGCTCCATGCGGCTCATTTGTATAACCCTCCGGATAGCCCGCGACGCCAATGGAGAGCGATTCTTGGAGTACATGCGAAAAACAGGTACCAATAGCTGATAACTGAGTTGAACTCTGAGCGACTCACCTCCCCTAACACATTGCGCCCGCCTCACCAGCTGTTCACTGTCTTTGTAGGGCTGACTTTCATGGACCTTATCGCCGCGTACGGCTAGCAAGTTTTTCAGATTCAGGGCTAGGAAGTCGTCCAGTCGCTGCTCACTCATGCGATAGACTGTAAGGTGTGGTAAGGTGGGAATTCGAGGCTCCAGATGCTTGACTAATTGCACGGTATCCACTGCCTCTATGGGATCTATGTTCCAGTATTGAGTGGCAAGCCAAACCACGCTGACAAAAGTAGGCAGAACGGGCAGAAAATCGTTGAAATCAATGGGCAATGGCTTGCCACCTAGGCGAGGTATGATCTCGATTCCGTAAAAGAACTTGCTCTGCGCCGTCAGATCGGCCAATAGAGCCCCTATTGGTTTCTGGCATCGCTCCGTCTGGTTGGGCGTAAAGGTCACGCACGGCTCGTAGTTGGGATCATCCGGCACTTGGTACGGCTTCAGGCTGTTTCTAGAACTATTTGTCTCTAGAGCGTACACATTTGAGTCGGCCGTCGACCATTCCCGCCTCTTTACACCTTGAGTCCGTTCAACTAACTGAGCTGAACCGACATGGCGTTGCTTCATCAGAATCGGGTTCTGATAGGATACCACTCGTAAAATTCGACATGCCCCGACGCCTAGCATGGCAACTGTTTCGTGTTTTGTTGTGTCAGATCTTTAAACTAATACCTATTTTTAACATGTTTGAGTTTAAAATATTTGTCGATTTGAATCGTTCGTAGGATGAATTATTTATGGGAAGTGGCTGCTTCTGCCGTCTTCAGCTTAATGGTACTTGATTTGTTAAATTTAAATTTATTTATTTATTTTATTTCACTGTCAGATCTTAAAACGAATATTTATTTTTAATTTGTCAAATTTAAATTTATTTATTTATTTCATTTCACTGTCAGATCTTTAAACGAATATTTATTTTTAACTTGTTTGAGTTTAAAATATTTGTCGATTTGAATCGTTCATAGGGGGAATTATTTATGAGAAGTGGCTGCTTCTGCCGTGTTCTGCTTAATGTTACTTGATTTGCTAAATTTAAATTAATTTATTTTATTTCACAGTCTTCTTTTCAAATCGTTTTAAATCGAAATAAAAAAATTATTTATGAGAAGTGGCTGCTTCTGCCGTATTCTGCTTAATGTTACTTGATTTGCTAAATTTAAATTAATTTATTTTATTTTTATTGTTTGGCCGGCTCGAGGTCAGAGTAAGAAAAACCAATTTATTTAATTTTCTTTTCTTTTTCCGATATATTTCGGTTACGCCACGGTAACCGTCTTCAGGGCAACTACAAAACATATAACATAATTAACATATTAAAACTATAACACAAAAATTTTTATATATAATTACTTATTTAAGCAAGTCTGCTCTGTTTGACTTGGAGTTACTAACTAACAGGTGTCTGTAAATATGCGCGCAATTTTCGGTGTCTGCTTTGTAGTTAATTCTGTATTTGTTAGGTGTGTTGATAATGTGTAGCGTTTCGAGAGTGAATCGCTTACTGTAGTGTCGTTCTTGTTGAAGTACTTTCGTTTCTTCAAAGTTGGGGGTGTGTCCAGTCTCTATGCAGTGGGTTGTTAGAGCAGTTTTTTGTGTCAATGTTTGATGCCTTAGTTTGTAGTCTGACTTGTGTTGTGATATCCGTGTTTTTAGTTTCGACTTAGTGGTTCCAATGTAAAATCTCCTACATGGGTTGTCGCTGTCTCCGTCACATGGAATTTTATAGACTACGTTATTCAGGTCCATTTCTGCAATTTTTGCCTTAGTCCTATTAAAAATGTTCCTAAGTGTATTCTCCGGTCTGTGCGCAATTTGTATATCCTCTTTTTGATAGCAGTCTGACTGGGTGAAGCGTTCTGAGAACCCAGATACGTATGTCAGAGATTTGTAGATTTTTGGTGCTCTTGGTTCTTTTTTCTTTGGGTTCTTATGGTTCTTGATTAGGGAATACGTCAATTTGATAGGGAAGTCGTTTTGTGTCAGTATCCGTTTAATTTCTTCCTCTATTTGTTTATGGTAAAATTTGTCACTTGTCTCGAACATCCGTCTTATACAGTTCTTGGCTGTATTTATTATCATATTTTTCGGATGTTTCGAGTGATAGTTAATCAGCCTACCCGATGCCGTCGGTTTCTGGTACCATTTTGTTTTTAGCGTATTCCCACATCTATTTATAGTCAAATCCAAATAATTAAGTTTCTCGTCATTTTCTGTCTCTAATGTAAATTGGATGTCTTTGTGGTATATGTTGAGGGCGTCTAATGTCTTTTGCACCTGTTCCTTGTCAATAATTGCGAACAAGTCGTCAACATATTTGGTCAGGAGTCTTGGTCTATGGATCAATTTCGATGTTGTGTTTTCCAGAAGCTCCTCCATGACTATGTCCGCTAAGACGGTTACCGCTGAAGACGGTTACCGTGGCGTAACCGAAATATATCGGAAAAAGAAAAGAAAATTAAATAAATTGGTTTTTCTTACTCTGACCTCGAGCCGGCCAAACAATAAAAATAACTATGAGGAAGGTCACCAAAATACTCAACAATTAATTTATTTTATTTCACAGTCTTCTTTTCAAATCGTTTTAAATCGAAATAAAAAACCATTTTGATTAATTTGGGTGATTGATTGCTCTTCAGTTAAGAAGATACACACAAGAATATATTGGACATTGTGCAAGTTTATTTATAGACGCCACTTTTCAGCTGGCTCACAAGCTGCTTAAGCATTAGGTTTGTCTGCCATGGCAGGCTTTGAGGTTCAGGTCGCCTTTGTCTTGCCCAGCAGACCGGCAAAATACTTGTATTTGTGAATTCCCAGAGGCTATCATTTAGTTCAAAGAGCTATCAATGTTAACAGTGGCACAGCTGCTGCAGCCGCATTCGAAAACCTAAACCTTAAGCAATCAGAGCAAGGCACTGAGTAAAGGACATCCCAGACTCAAGGCAGATCGAACAACAGTCCACGGCTGAGGTGCAAAAGTATTGTGCCAAAAAAGGAGAGAAAAAACTTGTATGTGGCAAAAGGAAAGACACGTGCTTCCAAAGAAGAGCAAAGAAATGCGAAAAGGCAGCTGGCGAGCATTACACGATGCGGGATTGTGGATTACACGTGGAGCAAAGGCCCATGAGTTGAAATCCTGTTTTGGGCCACTTGTGCACGCAATGCGGCCAAAGCGGAAATGAGTGCCAAAATAAGACAAAAAAAGAGAAGAAGGAGAGCTGTGCACAAACAACAAAGAAGACGGGCAAGTAAGCGAAAGGATAAGACGCATAAACACGCATGTTATGCCTAATCGCAGAACTTCTAAGGGTTTTGCAGGCAGATTTTCGATTATAGTGGTGGGTGCGTGAGTAAAAAATTGATGCTGTTTTTTTTTTTGCATTCAGTATATGATGTCTACAAACCATAGAAAGCGTTCAAAAAAAGATTTAAAAAAGAAATTCGAGTGCAGAATAGCTATTTTCTTTTGCTTAAATATTATATAAAAAGCATATAAAAGGTCATATAAGATTGCATTTAACAAACACTTGAAATTAGTTAAATAAACTTAAACAATACTTTATGTATTAAGCTGAAGAGTTAATTATTCGTTTATATATGTATTTAACAAAAAAAGGAGTATAGCTACCCCTAAAACTTCAATAACAGAACAGTTATAAATACATAATTCCAAGAAGAAAAAATAAAACCCCACAAACGTTGTTCTTGCATTTTAAATTAGTAGAGAAAATTTTAAAATTTAAGTTATAAATGTAATAAATGTAAAATGTTGTAATATTAAAAATATTAAATATACGAAAATCCGATTGCAAGAACTTGACATTTTGTTAATAAATAATTTAACTAAATAGTCGTTTTTATAAAGGCAACGTTTTGTCGTACAGTTTAAATACAATTTTGAAAATTGTTAATAAATTTGCTATTATACTTGTTTGAAATGTGTAATTGCAGTAATTTTTATTATTCCAACATATTTAATAAAATTTGATTGACTTTTCTAATGACATTTAAACCTAATCACGCATTGTATGCATCACTCTTGTAATTAAATACCTAATTGGTAAAGAAAGATGTGGACTGAAAGGGTTAGAAAGTGATTGATATTATTATTCACTCGAAGTCACGAGCAATGCCCACCTCTACCTTCACTTGTCTGGGGAATTAGCCATGAGCCTTAACTTTGAATGGCTTAGAAATGGATTGGACTGACTGCCTGGGCGGTTCCATCTATGTAGTTCTGTGTATCTTTAAGCCATTTAAGGCGTCAGGCAGCCAACCATGTGAGCAACTTAATTTCCGGAATACAAAAAACTTTCGGCTACCAAGTTACATCCAACAGTTAGAGTTTAATTTGCACAGCATACTCGTACTCGTGCATGGGGTTATCTTTTCCTCTATTATTTTTACTACGACTACGTTTTTGTGCAATCAAATTGCAATTAGCACACAGTTAATTAATTGCATTTTCCTTTACAGTTCACAGTGCGCAGTCGGCACTCATTACACACACATACATGAGCGTATATGTGTATACATATACATATGTGTTTGTGTAAAGTTTTGGCGAGTTGTTAAAGTGTTGGCTAGAAACACGTGTAAAATCAACATGTTGCGCCCTTTCTGGCAAATATGTAAATATGTAAATGTGTGTAGCTGCACAGACTATGCATACAACACACACACACACACACACACTCACACACAAACACATCCACACTCGCACTATATATGTATGTAGTCATGACTTCCATTCATTGCTAGTTCAGCTGCTGTTCCTTCTGCGGCTGATATAAGCGGCAAGCTTAAAGCACAGGTGCGCATTACATGCTTGTACACACAAACACATTTACAAACACACACACATGCACACACATGCACACACATTGACGTTCATTCCTGGCTGTTGCTGGCGCGCTCGCACAAATATTTCTTCAACAAGTTTTGAAATGTCTGATTTTTAAATTTCTCGACTTTTGCTTCGCTGTGCTTTCTTTGCTCGCCTTTCTGCGATGGCAAAAAAGAAGAAATTTGTAACAAAACAAACAAATAAACAAACCCAACCACCCACACATGTCTATATAGAGACACACACACACACATATATATATGTATGTGCACATATCAGACGCGAACATGTTTAGCGCGCCTTTTGCTGTGCCTGTTCCTTTGTGTGTGTGTGTCCACATTCGCGTGCCTTTTGTGCTGCCTGCTATTTTGTTTGTCAAAATAAAAGTTTTATAAAATAAGCAAGCAGCAGCGAACGCTCTTGCGCTCTCCTGTGTGTCCTTTCGCTCTCGCACGCTGTCGCTCTCTCTCTCTCTCTCTCTCTCTCGAAGTCCTCTACTCTCCGCGAATCGCTGGCCTCTCATTTCCTAAAGGACACTGCACAAAAAAGTATGCAGCAACATTTTTTTGTTTGCTAAAAACTACGCGGGAAAATATATTTATTTGATGAAGGTATTGAAGGTACGCTTGTGTATTATATTTTTTATAATTTAGATATTTAGTTTTAAACGGAAATTATTTCGTCATCATTATTTCTTGAAATTAAGTATTTTCATTAGATTCATATTGTTTATGTTTGTAAATATCCATTATTGATATGCATTTTTAAAAGCTAAACTAAGTTCTTCTCACACATAATATTATTATTTTTCGTTAATGTGTAAATTCTTCATTCACGGTAATTTAAATGTGGAAAATTAAACCACATCAGGGGAGTATAAACACTTTAAAAAATATATTTTTGAATATACAGATTATAGAAAATATCAAATAAATTATGCATGATTTTTAATTTTTAGTATTATTAATTTACATACGTAATTTTAACTTAGAATTAGAGTCAGGTATTATTCGGGTTGATTAAACATAATTACTTTACGGTGTTTAAATAAAGCATTAGAATCGACGTTAATGAAAGCAAGTTTTATGTGTTACGAGATAAATACATCGAATCGTAATAATTGTATTTGTTTTGCCATTTTTAGTGATGTAAAATACTTAAGAATTATTTTTTCTAAAGACAGTATTTAATACAAATAAAATTAATTGAATTATTTTTTAATTGTGGGAAAGAAATATAAATCTAAAAGATAACATTGCCGCCAAAACAATTATTTTATTTTGTTTGTCTACACAAAGTAATAAAATAAATAAAAATGCTGTATTTTACACCTATTTTCGATTATATAGATTTTATGTATAATTGTTAATTGTGCTTTTAATCCAATTTAAGCTTTATAAGCTGAATAATTTGGTAATAGCCCGGTGTTTTTTTGCATTTCATAAAGTGACGGTTGACTGTGCTGTCTGCTGGAAATGCCGCACATTACGTATACGCTGTGTGTGCACTACCAACGAGCGAGAGCGAGAGTGCTAGAGAGCGTGTGAGCGTGTGAGCGACCCGGCAGTTGCGCTCTTTGCCGCAGTTGTTTTAACCACCTGTCTAGCTGGCTGCCCAAGTTGGGCCAACTGGCCTGCTTGGCTGGCTGCCTCGTTGCCTCGCTGCTCGTTGCCTGCATGTTTTTCCAGGGGGTATTTCATCTCTGACGGATCTGAGGCAGAGTTCAGTTTCATCTGAGATGTTTGCGGCAGCGGTCGATAAAAACGGAAGCCAGCAAAATAGAACTGTGGCAAGCAGCGCGTCTGGCAAGGCAACGCGTGTGTCCCCACAGTGACTGAAAACATTTGAAACATTGCAGAGGGAAAGCTGAAAAAGTTTCCAAGTGCGAAAAACTATATATTGTGTTTGATTGAAGTTCGCTCCAAAACAATAGCGCACAATTTAAGTTAAGCGCCCAGAACTCATAGACAGATAATCTGGTACTCTAGTTGGTCGCATCTAAATTGCAATTGCCGTCGCTAAATCATTCGTCATAATTTGTTGTTTTAGTCAATTGGCTGATTGTGTGATGAAAAAATAGATTGCAAAGGCCTATTCAATTACAACGTGTGATTAAAGTTAGTCGGGTACATTTCAAGGCTGACTAGTTTGTCGCCCAGTGGTCAAGTTTCTTAAGCGGCTTCAAAGTGGCAACGGACTACCGCAGAATGACACGTGTCAGGCGCATTGTGGTAAGTTCCCACACAAAAAACAAGCACGCACAATACACACACACACACACACACACGCGACATTGCAACTGTTACACTCCGCATATGATATGTTTAATGGCCTTAAATGCTTGCAAACACATGCTGCCAGTCCTTTAGCAATACCCAAAAAATTTACAGCTGATACACACAAACAAAACAAACACGCAACGTGCCTGAGAGATATTTTGTAAAAATATTCTAAATTCCCCACATTCCAGACATGCAGGCGTCCTGCCTGCCCCTTCGTCCTTACACAAATTTAATTTCACATTTTAACGCGTTTGCATGCCGACTTGAACAAATTTTACTGCTAATTTAATATTTAGTCCGTTTTTTTATATATATAAGTATGTACGAGTTTGTTGTTTCCCCCAACAAAATGTGCTCTTTGAACTTTGACTCTTGACATTCGCGTTGCCAATATGCTTTGTACTTAGGCTGCCTAGTTGGCCTTTCGCTATGAGTTGACATGTTTGTCCCACATTAAGCAAAATGTTTCAAAGCAAACAATAAAGCTGCAGTTTTATAAGTAGCAGCTGAAAAGAGGGGACATCTTTCTCTGAACATATCTGTAATAAAGTTGAACTAAAGCTCTAAACAACAGATGCTAATGGCAATGAATTTGATTGTTTTCTAGAATAGTTTCCAATAAACAACAAAAGGAACTTCGTTAATTAGATGACAGAAATAAATGTACAATTAAAGTCACAACGATTGCGATATGTCTCTCTATTTAATGAGCGCTGAATTTACTACGCATTTGAAGTTGCTGCTAAATTTTGAACGAAATGCTACCATACTTAGGTTCTAATATATATCTTTAGTTATAATGAACAAACTTGTATTGTTTGGCTTAGACACGAACTATTAATAAGTTATTTTTTTCTTTTAAGCACCAATGGTAATGGTTTATAGATTTTCCGTCGTTTTCCCCTAGAAGTATAGAAATTTGTACTACAATACCAATAGCGATTAAGACAACTTATCGTTTTATTTGCTTACACTCCCTGATTATTTGTGTCGCTTTTTTGTTTAAAAGAAAAACAGAAGGGCAATAAATACACAAAATAATAAGTTATGTATTTGATTTATTAAGGTCTATGAAAGCTACTACTTTTCCTAGAAATTCCTAATTATATAAAAATAAATAAAAAAATAAAAGATTTTCTAATATAAATGAGCACAAAAGCATTTTCAAATAAAAGTATGTTAGTAGAGCCGCAACAGCCCAACGGCCCAGTATCAGGTGACAAGGGGCCAGTCAGCAGATGAATGATAGATCTGCCAGTAATTGAGAAAGGTTCTGCGACCATCAGTTAAAATATACTTAACAACTTAAAATATGATAAGACATATGTAAAATAAGATTAAGAATAGCTTCTATTGAGTAAGGAAGAAAAAGAATTGTGCATTTAGTCTACTATTGTGGCATGTAAGAAAACAACTGGCAAAGAAATGCAGAATAATATAAAATCTGAATGGGATTGGAAATTAAAGTGAGCTTTTCCCTCGTTCGTTATGCTAAAAAAAAATTTAAAATGGTATTAATAGACATTAATTATTTAATATAATCATTTTGATGTTTCACAAAGAAAACCAATTGTGACATTTTGGTGTTTTATTGCAGCATTTTCTCCCAAATTGAATAATTTGATTCATTTTATGTCAGCTAGAGATTCAGAAAGTAATTCCAAAAAAAAAGAAATAATAAAAGATGCTTCGTTTTCTCGTCTAGCTGGGACATCAGCAGACTTACAGGCCTGCTAGCTTTTGTGAAAAAAACATTTATGGTAATAATGTTCTTACAAAAACTATCACGATCTATATTGCGATTGTAAGCCCCTACATATTAAATTAGAGCTATATACTTATGTAGTAGTAGTTGTTGTAGTAGGTAGCTTTATTTTTATATACACATTACTTAGGTTTACAAAACATTTTTTAATTTTATAGTTAACCCAAAAAAATAAAGCTTTATTTCAAATATATCGACTTGGTTAAAAAACCGTCGATCACCAAAAAATTCCCTAAACTACATTGGTTACTACACCTGACTGTCCGGCTATATATTTATGTATATATGTATATTATAAGTATCTATGTATTATGAGACTCACAATAATATTTATAGTTTTTATTCTACCAGCTACAGTTTGAGATTGAAATAAAGTTGTATTTTGAATATAATTAATCAGAAATAACACACAATAAAATCCAGTGTAAATGCATTACATATTCAGTCAAATGTACATTCTTGAATGCACATCATTTTTAAAAATACCTTCAAAGCATAGTGTTTGCCTCTCTATGCCTGCCCAATTCCCAATTAAAGCTAGAGTATTAGGCGCTATTTTAAAACCGCAAATAGCAAGTAATTCTTTTGATATATATTTTTAACATTTTACGAACTGCCCACGCATTATTGAACCAAACAAAACTGTACCTTCAGCTGTTGTTTTTAACTTTATGGCCGTAAGCAACTTTCATGTTCACGGGTCGTATGCGCAATGTGCCCACAATGTTGTTGCCATTGCTGTTGCTTTTGCGTATTTAATGCGTTTTCTGGCCTAAATTGTTGAGGTGAAAGTTTAATACACACACACACACATACACCCCACCTCCACAGATTCACAGAAAACATTTCGTGCATATTTTCATTGCCTGGCCATAAACCACCATTGACCATTGGCCTTCGCTTATCAGACTGACGAACGCTGCCAATTTCAAAGCCACAGCGCCAACAAATAAAAAGCAACAAAAGTAACAGCATCACACCAACCAAAAACAAATACAAACAACAAAACCAAGAAACGTGCATTAATTTCCAACAGAATTTTTATCTCAGCCTTGAAACGGACAACGGCAGCGAGTTGGTCCTGTCTGGCCATCGCAAAATGAACAAAAAATGCAAATGCAGTTGTTGGCGCGTTGCCTGCACAACAATTTTTACCTCTTTTTCCCACATTTTTTCATGATGGGCCGCTAGCTTAGGGCCGGCTTATAGCAACAGCTGTACAAAGGTATGAAAATGGCAAGGAAATTGCATTTGGATGCATGCTGAAACGTTAAAAAACTATGAACAAGCACCCCAGCAGTGCAACATGAAGTTGTGGAAAAAAGCACTCCAATGGTACCTAACATATGAAGATGGTGGCAAAGGCTATCCAATGTTGCCAATTTTGAGTTAAAGTTTGCTGGGTAAGGCATTAGAATGCTTTCGAATTTAAAGGGAAAAGTATTCCACAATATTTCAGTTTGTATTGCACTGTTATATTATCTATCAAACGAAATGTTTAGCTTCTCGATTGAACAGAATTCCTGAGCTCCATTGCTTTTATGTGTTTAATGCTCTTTAACATATTTACATCAGCTATATTAGATGCCTAATTATTGCCTATTTACAAGATAATAACACCATGGAAAGCGTGTCTTGTTAGTCAACTTAATAAAAGAAATTGTGATTCTCTTTTATGTTTGTTCTCCAAAATATTGTAATCATAATAAATTATATTTATTGAATCTAACGTTTCATAGTTAAACATTTTATTGTCTTAAAAGTACAATAATAAAATAAATAAAATATTTATTGTGTGTACATAAATTTACAAATTTATGGACAGCATTTTTTCAATCACGACCTTCATGATATTTGAGAATGATTTATTTATCTTGCTTTTTGAAATTCATGAAAATTAAATATTTCTGAATTAAATTAAATAAATTAAATTTGCTCTCCAAAATATTACAATCTTTTCTGTAAATATTATATTTATTAAATCTAATGTTTCATGGTTAATATTTTAAAGCCTTAACCGTTATTAAAATAAAATAAATAAAATATTTATTGTGTGTACATAAATTTACAAATTTATGGACAGCATTTTTTTCAATCACGAGCTTCATGATATTTGAAAATGATTTATTTCTCTTGCTTTTTGAAATTCATGAAAATTAAAGATTTCTGAATTTAAATTTGCTCTTCAAAATATTACAATCTTTTCGGTAACAGTTATTAAAATAAAAAAATTTAATTATTTATTGTGTGTACATAAATTTTTAAATTTATGGACAGCATTTTTTCAATCACGAGCTTCATGATACTATATTTGAAAATGATTTATTTCTCTTGCTTTTGTAATTTATGAAAATTAAGTATTTCTGAATTTAAATTTGCTCTCTAGAACATTTTAATCTTTTCTGTAAAAATATATTTATTAAATCACACGCTAAATATTTTAAATCTAACGTTTAATGGTTAAACATTGTACAGCGCTAAAAGTACAAAAATAAAATAAATAAAATATTTATTGATATTTTGTAATATTTGAGAATGATTTATGTGAATGATATATGTGAATGATATATGTGAATGCTAATCGCTTGATTTATCATGCATTTGAAAATTTCTGAATTTAAATATGTGGTTGCTTTGTTAGCTGATTCATTCGAATTGGTTAACCAAGCACTGGCCGCGTTGCTCGTTTGATTTTTATAAATGCCAATATTAGGTATACGCCGCGTGTGTCAGTGTCAGATATCTATGCGAATAGCTTTAACTCATATTTGGCACACGCCTCTTTGGTGTCGCATTAACCTGTTGGTAATTTGGTCGCTACATAGCCATGCTATATGCCCACAAATCAAATGGCGTTCGCTGGCAAGCCGGCACTTGAAAAGCCCCTCCAACCTGAACCCTTGCACTCTAACCCATGCGAACATGGCTTTAACGGGAGGCGTAACCTTCGGGCAGACCGCGTAACGTTTATCACAACAAGGCAATAAATTTCATGTGCCTTCTTTTTTCTTGCACGTTGGTGCCAGAGCCATGGGTATAGCTATTGTTATTCTTGTTTGTGTTGTTGGTGTTGGCTTTGCCAAACATTTTTATGGTCTCTTCATTTTGTGGCAGCTGCCAATTTTGCTTTGCATACTTGGTGGCAGGCTGGCAACAATGCAACAAAGGCAATAGCAACAATTCA